GGTGGCCAGCTCTTGGGTCAGCTCTTCGATCCTCCTGAGAGGGACAGAAGGGCAAGGGATGCTCAGGCACTGGGATGACCCCAGGATGGCACTGGAGACAGCTGGGGGGGCAATCTCTGGGGCAAAAGCAGAGCAGCCTCAGGTCTGCTCCCCCTTCCCCACAGCCCAGCTCTCTCCCCTTGGGATGACCCCTGCACCCCTCTGCATGCCCTCAACCATCCAGCCCTGCACAGCTGGTAGTACTCAAGGACCGGCACAGGGCACAGGCTGGCAGCATAGCGAGGACAGGTCCTGGGCACCCACCTCTGGGCTACGGCGCCACAGCCATCATCGCTCCTGTCCTCGTCCTTCGTCCTTGCAGCTTCCTTCAGCTTCCCTGCCAGCTCCCGGCACCGCTCCGCCTCGGCTCTGGCCAGCGCGGTGGCCTGCTCGGCCTCACTCCGTGCCAGCCTGGCCTCCTGCATGGCAGCAGGGTGAGCCTCAGGTGCTGGTCCCCAGCTGCCCTCGGCTCCCACTACCTCTGGGCTTACCTCCTGCAGGAGCTGGATCTTGTTCTCCAGGAGCTCGTAGACATGCTCTGACTCCCGTTGTCGCTCCTCATACTGCTGCCGAAGAGCTGCCTGGCTGCGGGTCGTCTGGTTCTCTGCGGCCACCCTGCCAGGCACAGCACGGCATGGCATGGCACGGCACGGCACTACACAGTATGGCATAGCATGCTACAGCATGGCATGGCATGGCAAAGCACGGCCTCCCTTTGCAAAAGCCCCCACCTCAAACTGGTTGGGCTGGGTGAGCTGTACCACCCCAGGTGCCCCCAGCCCAGCTCCCTCCATGCCACGGGTACTGTTTCTGCAGGACCCCCAGGCAGGGCACAATGCAACCTCTGAGTGCCACTGCCCTGGAGACACGGCTCCTCTGGTAGCACCAGGTCATGCTCAGGCTCTGAAACACCAAAGTTGTTCCCACACACTGAAACCAGGGGCTCCCCCACTGCTGTGACCCTGGTCCCCTGCCCAGCGGTGCCCCACTGCAGGACACCCGCGCCATGGCCCCCGGGCACAGCGCTGCCCTCCCCTGCCAAACAGGTG